CGAAGCCCCCGCCGGGCTGCTCGGGGGCCTCCTGGGGGACACCCTGGGCTACTGCGGCCTGGGAGGCCGTCGGCATCTTTGAAGCGACCCCCATCCCCGGCGGGCCATGCCATGTCTCGGCCGCGCGGCGGAGGGGGGCGGGGGGGAGGGGGGAATGCTCTTTGGAAGGCGCGGGCCTTATCTGATGAAGGGACGGCGCCTTTCAAGTAGCAGCCTCTCCTCTTTCTAAGAAGCCTTCCCCCCTCACCCTACCCCCGTGTGCGCGCCGCTAAATCCCAGCACCACCACCCCACCGCCCCAGTCGGGGGTGGGCCCCTCAAAGCCCGAGGGGAGCAGACGGAACCCTCATCCACAGGGGGGTAGATCGGCCCGTGGGACCCAGGCCGCGCCCGTGGGGACAGGGACCGGTGACACAATGCTCAGGCCGCAGGGCCGGCACGGCCCACCAGCAGTGCTGGCAGGGCCCCGCCGCCACCGAGGCCCCTGCGCCGCAGGCCGTCAGGCTGTCGCCGCGAGACTCGCCGACTTTCGTGCTGCCACGCCGCGCGCCAGCGTCGCGGGGCCCGCCTCCCCCGCTGGCCGCCTCGGCGCAGGAGCGGCGGAGGCCTCAGAGCGGGCAGCCGCCGACGCCCGGCGGCGCCGCTGGCGTTGCGACGTGCCCGACCTGCCACTGGGTGTGCCGCTGCCCTCACTGCAGGCCCGAGCGCAGGGCGCTGCCAGCGATGCTGCTGAGCGGCCAGCCACCAGTCGACCTGCTCGACGAGATTCACGCCAGCCTCGGTGATCTCGGCAGCGGGCGCCTGTCCGAGGAGGAGGTGGAGCGGCTCCTGATGCGGTGGGCGGAGCTGGTCGGCGCCGGCCGCTGCATCGATGTGCTGAGCAGCGAGGCGAGCCTGCGAGCCATCATCAAGGCGATGCGCAGTTGGCCATTCAACGAGAACATCCAGACCAGCGGGTGCTGCATCCTCGGCAGAGTCGCCGCGTACGGGGAGAAGCAGTGCGTGCTCATCGCAAGCCTGGGCGGCGTCGCCGCCGTCGTGGAGGCGCTGAAGACGCACCCGCACACCGAGGCGGTACAGGAGAAGGCCTGCTGGGCGTTGCGGCAGCTGTCCATGGAGAGCCAGTGCAGGAGGGAGGTGCTGGTCCACCACGGCTTGGAGGCCATCGTCGCGGCCTTGCACGGGCACCCCAGCGCCCTCGGGGTCCTCGAGAGCGCTTGCATGGTGCTCGCGAACCTCGCCGCGGACCCCGATGCCAGGGTCTGCATCGCCCAGGTTGGCGGCGTGAAAGCGGTCGTGGGCTCGATGGCGCCGAACGTAGAGTCGTCTGTCCTCCAGGAGGCTGCGTGCTTCCTTCTGCATAACATGGCCTGCACGAGCGAGTACCAGCAGCTCATCGGTGAGAGCGGCGGCTTCGAAGCGGTGGTCAGGGCCATGCGCGCCCATCCCGACCACGCCAGCTTGCAGGAAGGCGGCTGCAGCGTGTTCCACAACGTGGCCAACGGGCCCGTCGAGTGCCTGGAGGCTGTGTCGAACTGCAGCGCCGTGGAGGCCGTGATCGAGGCCATGCAGGGCCACCCAGGGCACGCCGGCGTGCAGGAGAAGGCCTGCCACGCGCTGGGCCAGGTGGGCGACGTGCGCCGCCAGGTCGTCGAGCTGGAGGACCGCCGCCTGCACGACAAGATCGTCGCGCTGGGCGGCGCGGAGGCGCTCCGGAAGGCGACGGAGAACTTCCGGAAGGACGCGGCCGCGACGCACGAGGCGAGGGAGGCGCTGTCCATCCTCGAGCTCTGACGCGCGCTCCCCGCGAGCGCGGAGCGCAGCCTCTGGCCCCCGAGTCGCACCTGGGCCAGAGGCGCCCAGGGCGCGCAATGCCGCGCTCCGTAGGGCTCATGTCGACTCCTCCAGCTCGATTCGATTCGCTTTCGACCGCTTCCGAATCCGATTCCGATTCGATTCGACTTCGGATTTCGATCTGGACTTCGGCTTCTCAATGGCGGCCTTACGAACTAGCCGCAGCCTGCCGCTTTCGCTGGATCAACTTCTCCTGACTTGGCTGCCGATTTCCTCTTATCCGATCAATTTCGATCACCGATCTGTCTTATCGATTCGGAGCTATGCTCTGTTGCCCTGGGCAGAAGGAGGAGAGACGTTACGGTCAGGAACTTTGGCTTCGCATGTCGCGACGCCGGTTCTGGTCAAACCGCGCTTCGGCACGACACGCGATCCGCGTCGCAACTCCCAGGCGCCAACCTCCCGAGGTGTTTCCTGCCTCCCGTCCCGCGGAGCGCAGCGACACGCTACGTATCTGCTTGCAGGGCACAGCGTGTGGCCGCCGCCACCGCCGTGACACGCTAAACAGAAGTCCCTGACCGTATGATCATGTCGGGCCCGTCCCTCTACAGGAGGAAAATTCAAACATATTTGTCACAAATGATATGGGCACCATGTTTTCGCATTTGTTGAATCTGCTTGTGCATGTGTTGAGTATGTTTTGAACTTTCCCGTCCAGAATTCCCCTGTAGGGGGACATGCCCGACCTAATTGTACGACTGCGCACCCAGACCCTGAGATCCACGCGTCGCAGTTTTATCGCACCGGGCGCCTTCGCTGGGCCTCGGGCCCCGGGTGTTTCTTTTGCGGACCGATCTGGCTGGAGAGGTGCCGCAGAAAGGTCAGGCGCAGGGCTCCGGTCGTGATTTCTCACGATGTCGCATTCTTGTTCGTGACGTCGGAGGCGCTGGGATGCACGGCCGCGCGTCTGCGACACCGCGCTGGGGGCGGCGGGGGGAAGGGGCCTGTTCCGGGTCGGGCGAAAGGGGAGGGGGGGACGGAAAGGGGTGGGGGGTACGAAATCTCCAGCATGGGGCTGGCACCGGCTCCGTCGCCGGACGCTCTCTTTGAGGCATCGTCGCATCCGTTGCCCGGCGGCGTCGGAAAGACTTGTCTGCGCGGGCTGACTCGCCAGCCGCGGACCCCCCTGTTCCAATCCCCCTGTTCGTCCGACCCGAGTGTGGGTGGGAGGGGAGGGCACTGACCGACCCCCCAAGCAAGCCCCGCATCGCATCCTTGGGACCCCTGACGCGCCACGGGCGCGGTGGCGGACTGCGGCCTTCACCTGCCGCGCGAGAGTGCGCAACGCGTCGCGCCTCGGCGGCCAGAATTGGAGCGGTGCGTCCCCGCCTCCCATACCCCCCGTGTCCCAGGACATGCCGTGTCGTGACGTGTCCGGAACGGGGTCCCCGGAAGTCCCGACGATCCCCCTCCCCAGGGAGCGGCTTCGTCCCAGCCGTCTTTCCATGTTCTCTCGGGGCCGCGAGGCGGCTTCTCCAGAGGCCGGAGAGAGCCAGAAGCCGTCCGACGGCGCGAGGAAGTCTGGGCCCACTCCCGCTTCCAGCAGCGCGCACGGCTGCGGGCCCCGCTTTTCAGGGCGGATGGGTCCCCAGGCGGAGGGGCGCGTGAGCCCGTCCCGCTTCCCGACCGCCTCTCGGCTGTCCGCTCGCGTGCTCCTCCGCTCCTCCCTCAGAGAACTCAGCGCTGGCATGAGCATCACAACTCGGAGGTCCGCGCCGATCCGAGAAATCCACGCGGACCTCCGAGTTGTTCTGCTTGCGTCATCCGATAATTTCTCTGTCCCTCCCCGCCCCTCCAGGAATCCCCCGCGAGGTGCCTGCTCCCACAAGAGGAGCAGCGACCTGTCCATGGGTTCCGGCGGGTCCCCGCGCGCACGGCAGCCATCCTGCGGCGGGCCATGCACGGCCACAGAGCTGGTGCTGCATCGGGCCCGGCAGGCCCCGGGGGAGGCTGCGGGCTTTCGGCGGCCAGAGCCTGGAGAAATGCGTTGGCTCGCGTGTTCTCTTGCCCGTCCCATTCCCCCCCCCCCCGCGACCCCCAGATCTGGGCGTTGTATTTTTTTCACAACGGGCATCTTCGCCCGGTTTCGGGCCCCAGGACCCTCACAGATCGATCTGGCGCGAAAAACAGCGCAGAAAGATGTGGTCACTGGCTCTGATTACGATGTTTCGTGGTGTTGCATGTTTTACACCGTCGAATCGCAGGGAACAGTTGCGCAAGAATGCTCGTCGACGGCCAGAGTTGGAAGGCGCGTCCATGTTCTGTCCGGCGGCGCGCGCGAGCCGGTTGGGCGAAGGCAGTCGCGGTCTCAGAGGGCGGCGAGCCCTTTTAGGAGGCAGGCGGCTTCTCAGAGGACCCCAGGGGCTTCTAAGAGGTTTTCTTGGAAGCCAGGAGGGCTCCTAAGTAGGACGTCCTCATGCCTTCTCTGAAGCCCCCCGCCTCCTAAGAGGGTCGCCCTCCTCGTCCCACCACCGGGTGCGCGCGGCCACGATCTGCACGTCACAGTCATGGGGCTGCCAGAATCGAGCTGCCCCTTCTCGCATGCCCTCGCTTGCCCTGATTAGTAATTAGTGACTCGCGACCACTGGCTTCACGGCTACAGCCTGGCCAACATGCCCATTCCCCGCATCTTATGCCTCTTTCAGTTCTTGTCGCCCCCAGGAATAGAGGACAAGAGTTGGGAGGGGGCTGGAGGAGGAAGAGCAGGCGAGGGAGGAGCGGGGAAGAAGGGGGAAGACGACGAGAAGGGGGAAGCGGAATGGGGAGGGAGAGGGATGAGGAAGAGAAGAAGGAGGAGAAAGGCAGGCAGGGATTAGGGGAAGAGCAAGAGGGGGACGGATGAGGGAAAGGAGGAGGTGGACAATCTAGGTTTGCACGCCAACGTTTCGCATACCCCACCCGTCTCTTCAAATTGCGTTGCTTTTTCTAAAATCAGCTTCTGGGTGTCCTTGCAGACCTGGAGCCCTCAAAGGATCCAATCGTGTGATGCGCACTCAATCTGGGGCGTTGTGCACATTGGAAGAGGTTGCGGATGAGTAGAAGGACGAGAAAGGGAACGAGGAGGTGGTGCAGGACGGAAGAGGAGGCGCAGCTGCAGAAGCAGGAGCGGGAGAAGCTCGAGGAAGAGGATGACCAGGGAGGGGCGGAGGAAGGGAACGGAGCGGGCATCGACAACGAGGAAGGAATCGGATCCAGAAATGAAGCCTGCGCTTGGCCGGGAGCGCCATTCTGAGCGACGTGGGCAACGCGCCGATCCTGAAATGAGGCCAACGCTGCAGTGGGGAGACAATGCCAACAACAAGAACGCTCCGAGTAGGACAACCACTGGTCGCACAGGTTTCGTGGCCCCGAGAGCACAGGTCCAGGGACGAAGGGAGCGCAGTGTTCACATTATACGTTGCGCAAGTGTGGAGAATATGGGCGAGGATCAGCAGGAGGAAGAAGGGGGAAGCATAATGACGAGGCGGGTGGAGGAAGGGATAGGTAAATTATGGTGGTGATGCTGATGCTGATGCTGATGCTGATGCTGATGCTGCTGCTGATGATGATGATGATGCTGATGCTGATGCTGCTGCTGCTGATGATGATGATGCTGCTGCTGCTGCTGATGATGATGATGATGATGATGATGATGATGATGATGGTGGTGGTGGTGGTGGTGATGAGGAGGACGAGGAGGAGGACGAGGAGGAGGAGGAGGAGGAGGAGGAGGGCGGAGGCGGTACAGGAAAAGGGGGATGACGAGGAGGGGACGGGGGATGAGGGAGGAGCAGCATCAGCGAAAGGAGGAGGAGGAGGAGGAATACGAAGAGGAGGAGGAGGAGGAGGAGGAGGAGGAGGAGGAGGAGGAGGAGGAGGAGGAGGACGAAGAGGAGGAGGAGGAGGAGCAGCAGCAGGAGCAGCAGCAGGAGCAGCAGGAGCAGGAGGAGGCTGGCGGAGCAGCAGCAGCAGCAGCAGCAGCAGCACAGGGCCCTCCGCCCCGGGGGCGCAACGCGCGCCCCAGGCCAGACCCTCATCGACCATCCGAAGCTGGACAAGGCGCCGCCCCCTCTCCACATGCCGCCCGCCGCCTCCTTGGCAGCCGTCCCGCCATCCCTGCGCCGCCCCCCATCATCCCCGACGCGGCCAGAACGTACACACACACATACACACGCACACACACACACACACACACACACACACACACACACACACACACGCACACACACACACACACACAGCCATCACCTCCCTGCCCCCCTGCCTCTCCCAGCAACGAGGGGAGGACGAGGAGGGGGCAGAGGAGGAAGGGGGAGCGGAGGCGGTGGTCCACGTTCCCCCCTCCGCCCTCCGCCTCGAGGGCAGCTCGAGGCTCGTGCGCTTTCCCTCCCCCCTCCGCTGGCGAACCTCTCTGTGGGGTGGAGCTGCTGGCACTCCTGGCGCGGGCGGGGGCATCTATCTCGACAGGCGATGCTCACGTCCTCTGTCTCGTGCGCGTGATCTGTGGCACCCCACGGCGCCCAGACCTCGCACACCACGTGCGGGGGCAATCCAGCGAGCAGCGCTACAGACCACCTCAGGGAGGCATCGGTGCTCGGCTTGGTGCCTGCGGTCTCGGCGGGGCTCCGTGGGCCGTGATGCGTCAGCAGTATAGCCAGACGACGCCAGGGCCACCGACCCCCCTTTCGCCCCCTCCCCTGCGCCCGGCCGCGCCTCTCGCCCTGCTCCCCCGCTCTTCTCCCCGCCATGCCCCCCCGCATTCCCCATCCTTCGGGGGTGGACAGAGCCCCCCCCCTGACTCGTCGATCAGTGAATTGTCCGTTTTCGGTTCTCGAGGGGGCGCCGCGGCCGTCATGTTCCAGGCTTGCGCCCGCCAGGTTTGGGCCCGAGATCGTTCCGCGCCGACTGGTGCGGCATGATGGCAGCGTGCACGGCCCTCTGGCCGTCTCCTTGGCTGCACCGCTGGGAGGCTTCTGCGACAGCGCCCCCTCCCTCGCTGACCCCCATCCTCCACTCCCTGTCCGTGAGCGAAAAACAAATCCGTATCCGCGGTCTCGCGGGCTGGGCCTTTGGGCCGCGCCACCGCGGATACGTGGCGCTTTTGTTCGCGGATTCCACGCGCGGTCGGCATCCGTGCGACGGCTATCCGCGGGATCGCGCCAGGGAATCCAGACCACACGAGGGCGCAGTCACGAGGGCGCAGTTACGGATCTGTTCGCCGCTCCTGATAGTCAGCGACCTTAGCTCTGTGCAACCTCGCGACATCGTCCGATGAGCGGCCGGCCGGCGATTACCTCTTGCACGGGTCATGCATGCCAGTCTTATTCGTCATGCATTGTCTCACTACGTTTGTCACTGTTTTACTTCTGCTGGCACTCGTTGCGCGCCTCGGCCCCGCCCTGCGGCACCCAAGCGGCGCATGCTGCAGATGGGCCTGTTCTATACCACCACGACCATCAGTTGGGGGGGGAAGGAGGCGGAGGAGGAGGAGGAGGAGGAGGAAGGAGGAGGAGGAAGGAGGAGGAGGAGGAGGAGAAGGAGGAGGAGGATGAAGAGGAGGAGGAGGAGGAGGAGGAGGAGGAGGAGGAGGAGGATGAAGAGGAGGACCCCCTCCCCCTCCAACTTAAGGTGGTGGTGGTGGAAAGCAGGCCCGTCACCCCCCCCCCTCGGCAGGTGTCCTTCACGGGCAGCTCCGCGGCGGGCCGCTCCATGCTCGAGTCCTCGGCGAGGCGGCTGCGGCCCACGGCCCTGGAGCGGCGCGGCCGCCACCGCAAGGGGAGGGCGCCGTGCAGGAAGAGGGGCCCGGCGGGGAGCGGGCCCCGGAGGCCTTCTCCTGCCGGCGTTTCGCCGGAGGGGCCTCGCAGGGGCCGAGGAGGGCCGCGGAGAAGGACGCCCACACGGGGGAGCGGGGAGCCCGAGACCGCCTGGTCCAGCAGCTGCTTCGCCGGAGACCTCTCCACGCGCGCCCCGGGGGCTGCGAGAAGTCAACTCTGGATGCAGGGCTTGTCCGGGAGGAAGGCCCCCCCGGGGGTCCAGGGCCCGGTTCCCTCAGGACCTGCCTCTCTCTCTCATGCCCACACGCCCCCCTCTCTTGTGGCCCCTGCGCGCCGCGGACTGGCGAAACGCCCCCCGCCCCCTACAGGGCCCATGTCGATGCGATCGGTCGGATTCGATATAGATTCCGGCCGGCTCGATCCGATTCCGAGATTCCGGCGATCGATTGCGATCCGGTGTTGGTAGAGCGCAAGTGTGCATCTTGGCGCAAACGACCCGATCCGATTTCGACTCCGTGCCGATGCGGCCCGATCCGACACAGATTCCGATTCCATCTGGAAGCCCGATTCGATGCTGATTGATCCTGCCCCAGGGGATCGGCCTTCCTAGTCCGCCTCGTTCTCGTCGTCGTCGTTGTCGTCGCTTGTCGGCGTCATGTTCGGGCGGTTCCATCGGTTCGGGCGGGCATCCAGCCTGGAGGTGCGTTCCTGCAGCTGGCGCCTCACCGAGAACATTCGGGGGGGGCCCGAATCGCCCCGAAAGGCCGCGGGAGACCCGACAACCAGAGGAGGGGGAGTCAAGACATCGCGACGTGCGGGCACCAAGAATATACACTGCACCACCACCTACATTCCCCCTCCCTCCTCCGCCCTCCTCTTCCCCTCCTCGTTCCTGGGAGAGGGAGGGGGAGGGGGAGGTGTCGGTGGTGTATGTTTTTGGGCCCCGCACGACGGCCAGTCTTCAATCGCTCTCTGCCTCCAGGGGCCGCCTTCCGTGGCTCCGTGGGGCTGGGAACAAGACGGCTCGGCTGTGGAACGCCAGCCCGCGGGGGAAAAGGGGTTGAGATCCCCAGGGCCCACATTGTGAACAAGGTCCTCCTCCGCCTCCTCCTCCTCCTCCTCCTCCTCTTCCTCCTCCTCCTCCTCTTCCTCATCCTCCTCATCATCATCAAACACGATCCGAGGTGGAAAGCCAGTCCTGGGGAGCGGCACTCCGCCTGATTGGCCCATGCATTTTGCCCTTGGCTTTCGGGTGGCGGGGGGGAGGGGAAACTCAAACACGGGGGCCGTTCGTGCCCAGGCCTCCCGATTGGGGCTGGAGCTGATGGCGCCAGGGGATCGCGCCGCATCGCCGCTGCATCGATGCGGCTCGATGTGGGGCCCGATTTCCTCCGCGCCGACGTCGCCGCTGCATCGCCGACGTCGCCGATGCATCGCCGATGCATCGCGGCGTTCTCCTCCGACGCCATCCGCTGCGGCCCCATTTGGGAGGCCTCCGTGCTGTCGCATCGCGCGCACTGGTCGGCCCGCCGCGCATCAAAAGTGCCACGTTGCGCAGCTCCGCCGCGCCCAGCGCGCACGCGCGCAGGGCCAGGAGCCAGCAGCTCTTCGCGCCGCCGTGCGGCAGGCGCGGCAGGCGCCCACCACGGCGCGGGCGGCGTCGGGTCTCCGACGATGCCGAAGGAGGAACGGAAAACATTACCCTGTGATGTACCCAACCCTTTCTATACATGTGGCGATTCTACTCAGGACCACTCAATGCTGACTGGCATTCTGAAGGACCCGCAGTGCGCAAGAAGAGCACCCAACAGTGATTTCAGAAGAGGGCAGCAAGAAGAGGAACAGCAACGATGCCGAAGGAGGAACAAAAAACATAAACAGGAACTGTTGGCGCTCCGCGCGGATATCTTGCATCCGCGCTGGGCCCCCTCCCAGGCCCGCGCAGCGCGCCAGGGGCGGCGCTGGAGGCGCCCTTGCAGGCAGGGCGGGCCCCCCCCCCCCCAGCGGGGCGCCTCCGGCGCCGCCCCAGCGGCGCGTTCCGCGCGCCGGGGGGGGGCCCAGCGCGGATGCAAGGAAATCCGCGCGGAGCGCCAAAAGTTAATGTTTCTGTTTGTTTTCCCCTCTTCTAGGATACGCACGGGAACTTTTGCTCAGCGTGTCGCGGCGGCGGACCCGGCGAGGCGATATGCCTTGCGAGTGGATAGCGTTTCGCCCGCGGAGCAGAGGACCCAGGCAGTAGTATAGGGCCCCAGAACCCTTGAATTGCCTCGTCCTTCTCTTCGTCGTCGTCGCCGTCATCTTCGTCGTCGTGTTCTCACACACCCCCTCTCCGCGGGGCCCGACCGCGTTACCGTTACCCCCCCACGGCCCCCCCCCGTAACAGACGTTACGGGGGGGGAGTAGTAAGGGCAGGAACAGCAGCAGGAGAATGGAGGCGCGAGAGAGAGGAGGGGGACGAAGAGGAAGGAGCAGCAGGAGGGGGCAGGAAGGAGGTTGCAGGCCTTCCCTCGTCGCTGCGTCTTCCCTTCGGGGGACTTCGCACCCTGATCACCTCACCGACCCCGGGCCAAAGGGCCACTTGCGCGTGCCTCCCTGGCCAGGCCAGGAGGACGCGTGCACCGTTCATGGGCCCAGGACGGGTCGGCGACTCCTCCTCCTCCTGTTCCCTCTCCTCGTCATCTGCCTTCTCCCCCTCCCACTCCCCCTCCTCCTGCTCATCCTCCTCCTCCTCCTCGTCCTCCTCCTTCTCCCCCTCCTCCTCCTCCTCCTCCTCCTCCCCTCCTCCTCCTCCTCCTCCTCCTCCTCCATCTGCTCCCTCCTCCTCCTCCTCCCTCCTCCTCCTCCTCCTCCTCCTCCTCCTCCTCCTCTCCTCCTCCTCCTCCTCCCTCCTCCTCCTCCTCCTCCTCCCTCCCCTCCTCCTCCTCTCCTCCTCCCTCCTCCTCCTCCTCCTCCTCCCCTTCTCCTCCCCCCGTCCCGGGCCCAGGATGGGCCCGGCCGGGACATCGGCGAGGTTGTCAGGGGGAGTTTCTGGGCCCCACCCTTCTTCCGTTCCACCCCCGCCCCCAGAGACCCCCCCCCCTCCTCCTCCTCCCTCCCCCTCCTTCTCCTTCTCCTCCTCCTCCTCCTCCTCCTCCTCCTCCTCGTCTCGTCTCCTCCTCCTCCTCCTCCTCCTCCTCCTGCTCCTCCACCTCCCTCCCTCCTCCTCCTCCTCCTCCTCCTCCTCCTCCTCCTCCTCCTCCCCCTCCTCCTTCCTCCCCTCCTCCTCCTCCTCCTCCTCCTCCTCCTCCTCCTCCTCCTTCTCCTCCTCCTCCCCCTCCCCTCTTTCGTTCCACCACGCCCCCAGAGAGCCCCCCCCCCCCCCTGTCGAGGAGCTGGGCGGTAAGTCCGCCTTTATCGTCTTCGACGACTCGGAGCGCCACCTCTTCGCCCGCTGCCCATGTCCCGCTCCCCGTCCCCCCACCCAGATGCTGCTTGTGAGATGTTTCGGGGCAAGCCCGAGGTGAATCGTTCTTGGCGGTGGGGATACACTCTGAATTGAATTGCGGTGGCACCAATCTGAACATGTAATAGCTGTGTTGGTAAGGTGGGCAGGGGTTGGAATCGTCAAGCAACGTGCATTTTCGTTGTATTGTGGCATCGGTATGTAGATATGGAGCTATCGCGAGAGACAAGTTCGAGGCGCGCTTGGCGCCCCGAGCACCACGAGAGAAGATCGCTGCGCGCTGGGCGCCGCAACGAGCCTCTGCCTTCGCCCTGCTGGTTCGCAGCCCCCTGTTTCTCCCTGGCCTCGCCAGTCCACCGCCCTGCCCGTTTTCCTGGAGCTTCCTCCACTCCGCTCCCTCTTCCCCTCGCGGCCCCTCCTGTCTTCCCTCGCGGCTTCTCGGTGCCCTTTTCCTCACCCCACCTCGGGGTTGCGGCTTCTCCTGGCCGTCTCGGCATCTCTCCCGTCCCGGGTCGCCCCCCGATTCTTCCAGCGGAGCAAGGCCGCGGCTGCCCCCGCCCCATCCTTGCCCTGCCTTCCTAGCCTCCCCACTACTCGGTTTCCCGCCTTCCCCTCTCCTCCCTCCCACCCCCCCGCTGTGTCGCCCCGTCGGCAATGCGAGTCCGTCTCGCGACGCAGTCTCCGATGAGGGCGGAGGTTTGGGAGGTGGGAGCTGTGGGGGTGGGGTGAAGGGACCTCTGCAACCTGCGTGTGCCACCAAAGAGGCCGAAGCACGCCATGCTGTAATGCGGCCTACACTGGCCCGAACTCGTTCGAATACACCGGTGTGCAGCGGGGGGGGGGGTCTCCCCGCTCTTGCGGCTCTGGGCTGCGGCGGAGTCGCCGCCGGGACCGGCTGGCGGAGGTCCGTCGCATGCAGGTCAGGGCCCCTCTCATACATCTCACGTGCAGGGACATTTCAAGCTTTTAGTGTTTCGATCGTGGACCCGCCCCCTGGGCGTCATTCCATTACATGCTATGACTTCTCCCTCCTCCTGGCCCGCCTCGTCATCCTCTCCTCGTCCTCCTCCTCCTCATCCTCGTCGTTTACCCTCTTCCTCTTCATCGTCATCCACATATCTTCATTGTCGTTCCAGCCTCCTCGTTCTTCTCCTCGTCGTCGTCCGCGCTCGCCTGCTCCTCCGCATCCGCCTTCTCATCTTCCTCGTTCCCCTTCTCGTCCTCGTTCTCCTCATCCTCGCTTCCCACCACATACATATGAAGCTCTTCGTGCTCATCCTTCCGCCTCGCATCCATCACCTCTTCTCATACTCTTCCTTGTCCCGTCTCCCTCCTCCTCCTTCCTCCCCCCTCCTGCTGGCTTTTTATCCTCTTCCCCCTCTAACTCCAACCTATCTGACGAATCCTGCTCGCCCTGTTATCATCATCTCGACCAGCTCTTTTTTTAAGTAATCATAGTAATCGTAGTATTATTAATATAATGGTTAATACTATTAGTAGTAGTAGTAGTAGTAGTAGTAGTAGTAGTCGTAGTAGTAGTAGTAGTAGTAGTAGTAGTAGTAGTAGTAGTATTACCCTCCTCCTCCATATGTACCTCCGTCACCCTTCCTTATCAACGCTTTCCTCCTGATCCAAGTCTAGCTTCTCCTCCTGCTCCTTCTCCTCCTCCTATTCCTCCTCTTCCTCCTTCCTCTCCCTCTCCCTCTCCTTCATATGTTCTCCTTCATTTCCTTTTTACTCCCTTTCTTTCGGGACCCGCCTCTCTATGGTGGGAGCTTGCGACCACTTCAGGGTCCCATCCGTAACCATTAGGCTCAGTGGGAGAAGGCGGTTTGAAAGCTGTGCTGTGTGTGTGTGTGTGTGTGTGTGTGGGGAGGCGCGCCGCTGGGGCCGCGGGACGTCGCGGCAGATGGAGGCCCTCCTTCAAATTGCTACGGACTTGCAGCCTGCACAGCGGGTAACTAGTCGTCGAATCCTTGGCAAGCCGGCTTTCCGCGGCTGGGGCAAAAAGAGCCACCGTGCTGCTCCAGCTGTTCGACGGCGAGCCCGAATCTGTCCTGGGTTTGGCCTTCCCGGACGCCGTCGAGCACGACGCCGGGGTGATCGACTGCCTGCACTGTTTCCAAGCGGCGCTGCAGGGCCTGGCCTCCATGGAGCGGAGGCTGGGCCGTCAGGCGGAGTCGCCGCGCCTGGACGATGCCGTAGCCGCCATCCTCGAGGAGTTCAGGACCCTTGTGCGGAAGAGGTCGGTCGAGGAGGACGCGCATTGGGCGGGGCCAGCCGGCGGCTGGACGAGGCGTTCCCCCAAGGCTTGGTGTGCCCAGGGTCACAGAAGGGGAGGATCTTCGTTAGCGGAGGTGGACAACGACTTGCACGCCAAGTGGGCTCGTCGAGCGGTTGAGCTATCGCAGCTCGCACGGGCCCCTGCCTTCGTGGAGTCTGAGCGGGCGCGGGATCCGCAGGCGGCGGCAAGGGGCCTCCTGGGAAATTCCAGGGCAGCGGCGATCCGCCTCTGGGTCAGGTCGTGGGAGGCCTTCGTACGTTGGCCCCAGTGGCGGTATGGCCTCCACTGGCCCGTCGACGTGGTCAGCCTTATCGACTACGTCATCGAGCGCATGGGGAAGCGCCGACGGCCACGTTACAGCAGACCTTCGCGGCCGCCCTGGCTGGTTCGAGGCCCGGGCGGGCTTCCCGAAAGAGAGTCGCCTCGCAGACAACGACCAGTTCCGCCGGGTCGTGAAGCGGGCGAAGGCCGACGCTAAAGAGGCCCACGGAATGATCAAGCGTGCCTCGCGGTTCCCAGTGAGCCTCATCGTGGCGCTGGATATCGCAGTCGCTGGCGAGGCCCTGATGCCCCGCGGTCTGCGGGTTGTGGTTTGGGCTCGCGTCCTCAAGATATTCGGGGTCATGCGCACGGACGACCACCAGAGGTTGAAGCCGGAGAACGTCAAGATGGGTGAGGCTGGGCTTATCGCGAAGCTCCTCCGCACCAAGTGCACGGGACCCGGGAAGAAATTCCGCGAGCTGATGGTTTTCATCCCGGCGGAGGCGAGCATCGCGGGGACTGAGTGGTTGCACGTCGGCTAGTTACGAGCTTCGGATTGGCGCGTTCCCCAAAGGGCTCGACTCCTTCCTGCCCCGGATGTCCAGGGACATGGAGCATTTCGCGCCAAAGGTGCCCACCTCCGGGGACCTCGCCGGCATGTTCATGAAGGTGCTGCTCATGGTCCACCAGCCGGTGGAGGGCGGCGGGGGCTTGGTCCCAGGTCGGACAGCGATGTTGGACGAGTCCATGGCCCTCTCGTGGACCGGGACATTCGGAAAGGCCGTCTCTCCCCAGCCTCGCGGCTACCCTCGGAGTCTCGACGAGTGAGAGGGACTACCTCGGTCGTTGGTCCCCCTCGGGGTCGTCTCATGTCATCTTTTTCGGGGGAGCGTAAGACCCGGGTTTGCCAGGACTCGGGTTCGCCATTGTTTTTTGACGACCGCGATTCGGAGTTTGACGAGTAGGAGTTTCGTGGGATGTCTGCAGCGGGAGGCCTCGTCAAAATGCAGGCTCGGCCTCGTCATTTTTTTGACGACCTCGTCGGGGATTTCCGAGTCCCCTGTACGCGGGTCTTACGCCCCCCTGATCGTTTGCATGGGGGCGGAGGGTCTTATCTTGCACCGCGGGCAGCACAGACACTCCTCGGCAGGGCTGGCTGATCTCGACGTCGACGCCCGTGGCCCAACAGAGGAGGGAAAGGGCGGGGGCCTTCTCGTCTGCATGTCTCTCTCTCCTCCCCTCATCTTTCGATGTTCTTGTTCGCTTTGATGGTTGAGGCCTGTCGGGGGGCCTCTGTAGGCCTATTTTGGGCCTCCTGGAAGTTCCAGAGACATCAAGGGGCCCGAAGACGTACGGAAACATCCCAGCCCTCACTTCCGCTCCCTTACCTTTGAAGAGGGCGAGAGGGATGAGGGACGGGTGGGGAGGAGGAGGAGGAGGAGGAGGAGGAGGAGGAGGAGGAGGTGGACGAAAAGGAGGAGGAAGTGAATCAGGGAAATTAGGGAGATGGGTCAGAGGAGGAGGAGGAGGAGGAGGAAGAGGAGGAGGAGGAGGAGGAGGAGGGAGGAGGAGGAGGAGGAGGAGGAGGAGGAGGAGGAGGAGGAGGAGGAGGATGACGAGGAGGAGGAGGAGGAGGAGTAGGAAGAGGAGGACGAGGACGAGGGAAACGGCCAGCAGGTGGTGGTTTCCCCTCTGGTTCTGTCCCTCCCTGCCCTCCCCTCGCACCTTACCAGCTCGTCGTCAAGACGCCCTGGGGATTCGGCCAGGGGCCCTCTGCGAGGGTTCGCCGTCATCGCGAGCTTGCGGGTGGTTTCCTCCTCCTCCTCCTCCTCCTCCTCCTCCTCCTCCTCCTCCTCCTCCTCCTCCTCCTCCTCCTCCTCCTCCTCCTTTCTCTCCTCCTCCTCGCTTTCTCTCCCTCCTGCTGCCTCTCGCCCTCTTTCCTGCTCCGCCTCCTCCGCCTTCTGCTTTCCATTCTCTCGGATGCCGCTGTCGGCAGGAAGAGTACCTGGACGCCGTGGTGGATTGGGCGATGGTCGGCATATTCTCTAACGCGGGCCAGGCATCTCCCAGCCTTGTGGGAGGAGGACAAGCAGGAGAGGAAGGAAGAGGGGCAGGATGAGAGGGGTAAGGGGGAGAAGGAGGCGGAGGAGGAGGAGCATGAGAAAGCGGAGCAAGTGGAGGAACATAATCAACATAAGCAGGAGGCATTGATTATGGGCCATGGGAGCCAGCACGCCAGGAGGGGAGGAGATTGCCAGCGTTTGTCCTTTGTGCCACGCTCGTGCAACGACACCACCCCCAGTAATTATTAATTATTACTCGCGGAACCTTGCCAAGTGGGTTTCCGGGCCGCTCCCCCAGAAGAGGCTTAAACTGTCCTTGTGTGCCCCGTTGCCTCATGGAGCTCTCCTGGAGCCTCCCCTGGACCCCCCAGGATGCTCCAGGCAACCCCAAGACGACCAGAGTGTCCACCTACGTATTTCGCGAGAGCCGTTCGCACGGTTCAAAGAGAGCCCAAGAGGGCCCAGGAGGCTCTAAGATGGTCCTACTGTGGCCCCAGGCGGCCACAATGAGGACCCCGAGAGGACCTCCAGACCCCAAACAGTCAAGCCAGCACGCACGAAAGTCATGCAGCGGTGGTTCATAGGTGTTGCGAGTTTTGCTTTCAAAGTGTAGATCCTAGAGGGCTTCGAAGCAACGAAGGAACGACAGAGCGCCCAACAAGGCCCCGAGATGGTCCCAAGATGGCCCATGATACCCCAAGAGGGCCGAAAATAGGACCTTCGAGGAGACGTGCCAGCGGACGTGTCTAGAGGCATGTCAGGGGACGCACCTGAAGACGTTTCAGGAGACGTTTCCAGCTGCGCCCCTGGGGACGAATCAAGGAACGTGCCATGTGACGTAAAGCACCCTGCAATCAGCCTGCTTGGTTGAGATCGTTGAGTTTAGCAGCGCACCCCCTCACCCGAGACCGAGCCCCTGACCACGCCTTCAGCAACGAACACTTTGGCTCGAAACCTGCGGCTCCAGTATATCCAGGCGCGGTCGTTCCTTCGCGATTTACGCTGGGCCCCAGGATAGGTAGAACCTGAGCGCGCGCGAAGCTCGCGCGACGGTTCTAAGACTGTTCCAGCGCAGTTGATTGTTGCTGCAAGTGTTGCGCTCGTGCGGTCTCGGATGCGTCCCGAAAACCGTTTCAATCACGACTTCTTGCGATGCGACATAGCGAAGGTTAGCATCTGGGCTAGGCTAGCAGCAGCCCCTGATTGACGAGTCTTGCCGTCCCCCTCGCATCTGAGTCGTTGGTCTGTTCTCAATTGTCCAAGGTCACCGTGTAAGGACGATGCTGCTTCTTTTTTGAGTTCCTCTTTCTCCACCCCCAGTGTCATTGTGCACCTGGAGTGCCAATTGTCGTTTCATGTCTGTCAGGCGTTCGAGACAATGCATCCTATCTAAATCCCGATGTCGACACGCTCACCCAGGTGAGATTGACCATCTTAGTTTTCCCAGTGTTACTTACTTCGGCTTCTCCTACTTCTCTGATAGTGCAGGTATTGGTGATGTAGATCTCGGGAGTCTCTCATAAGTCTGCGCCACTGTTTCAGACGGCTGATCGTGAAGCTGTGAGTGAGGGCCGACTGTCGTCTCACGTGCTTCAGAAACCCACACTGTGATTTGAATGGGGTCAATGAGCACATGCCCAACACCTCCCTCCATGTTAACACGTACCTGAATGCTTTCCGTTGTCTCCGCCGTCGTGTCCCCATTACCGTTGAGCATCTGACGTTTCTCCTGGGCCATTGGAATTCGATTATAGAAAGGATGGGGCTGCACCAGGCCGACCGTGGAATTTGGAGTCTTGAGGGTAGGAGGCAAACGCAAGCCCTCCACCAGCAGATGTCAGACCTGATTAGATTCTACCGGCAAGGTCACTCGCGTTCGACGACTCTGAACGCCATGATTTAACATATTGATCGTTCTGACCGTATCTATTGTTCCCCTCCTAGTGCGATACTTACAGATGCGGCGATCATGACTCGATTGCTGGTAAACTGACGTGGGACATGCCCTCTGACCACATACCCGTTTCGTGCCCACGTGGGGCCCGTTTGGTTCTGCTGGGACTGGCACCTTCAATTGTCTGCTATGGCTCATGTCCACGCCTCCGCAGTACTTTGGGGAAGACCCCAGTAGTGCTGCTAGGCTGGAGTGGATCAAGCAGTGCTTGCAGTGTGCTGCCGCGCGAGCTCGTCGTCGGCTAAAGTTTCGGGCTGTCAGATCAGTCAGATCCCATGAGGAATGCCACCATTGGTCGACGATGGGTTTACGATGTCTGTGTTTTCACTCCCCGCGGCTTCTTGACCATGACCTCACATGCTACCCAAAGCTTGCAAGTTGTGCATATGTTCTTAAACTTTCTATGGTGGTACTTGATGCTGAAACTCTAGACCTGGTTCGCCAGAAACGGGAACAGAAGATGGCGTGGCCCCGGCAGTTCGGGCAGCAGCTTCGGCGCCGCACTTGGCTTTAAGGAGTGGTGTGTGAGAACGGCCATCCCTTCCCTACCCTGAGCTGTCAACCAATGTTTTGAGCTCACATTCGGGCGAGGCCTTCCGTTCGTGGCAGGAAGACCGCTCTCAATGGCTGGAGCTGTTGTTTGTGCCCGACAAATTCCTGTAATTGCGAGTTGGGATCTCTTGGGAACTCGACTAAGTTATACGACCTTCGACGGGAACATCGTCATGAAACGCAAGCACCGCGTGGGCCGGATGTGATTCCTCATGTTTGTTGGCGTTTGAAAGATCCCGCTAATGAGTCTTCGATAGGTTGTATTTGTAGACGGTTGAGGGACGGACCTGGGGATTGCCGAAGGACGTGCTTGAGGTTCTGATGGTTTTGACTCCGAAAGGTGGTGCAGATAATGATAACGGTATCCAGGTGTACTGTACCCACAAGAAGGCTAAGCCAATCTCGACGGTGAGTACGGATGCCAAGTTTTTAAGTTCTAGCGTGTTCTTCGCCCACTACGCGTGCGAGGCAAGTAGTTTCAGAATCGCAGGCGTGCGTCTTTGGTCGCAGTATAATTGGTCACGAGTCCGTGTTGAAGCGCGGGCTCTCTCCCAACACATTCAAGGTTCGGACGGTAGCTCGATGGTCCCGACGGACTATTCTACCACAGTTCTCTCGGTTGCTTTTTCCTGGTTCTTCAGAGTTCTGATGGTCATGAATGTTCCAGCCTCCGCTGCCGAGGTTTACCACGTGCGTTTTGCTGGTAATGTGGCTTTGGTGTCGCTTCTGGTTGAGTTTTTCAACGATTGATGTTGCACATGGTGTTTGGCAAGATGGCTCTGCATTGATGGTTTTGGTCTGTCTTGGGACTGATTCGCTCCAGCGGTGAAAAAATACGAAATGCATTGGGGCCTCCACTTGAAGCCCGAGTATGCTGATGACTGATAGCATTGCTTGTGCCGCTCTCTCTTTCCACGGTCCTCCCGCTTTTCATGATTGCCCTGAGTTTTTTTATGTGGCGGTGGGTCTTGCTTTCAATGTCGCGAAATGTGTAACCCACGCGCTTGGTGCACGATTTCGAGCCCGGATGTAGAGCTACCCCTTGCCGCGGGCATACGCTGACGCAGAGGCCCCAGCGGTGCAGGTGCCAGTGTCTTAAGAGGATGATTGGCTCGTTCGCGCAGGCTACTTGCTGGATCAAGCGGGTGGCGAAGTCTGCCCCGAGGGTTCGCGAGTTTAGGCAGTTTGGGATTACCCTCGACAAAAACATTGCCAGTTCCAGAAGCTTTGCCTCATAGTTCTGAGGCTTGTGATGCAGTCTGCGCAACTTGACCGGCCAGTTCCGTCAGCCTATAAACACGTTTTGCAGCTACATGTTGTTAGTCCCCGCCTCGGTTCCAGATGCGAAATGCGCAATCATTAGGGTTGGGGTTCTCTGGGTTTTATGACCACCTTGAATTTGTTTTTTTCACGCGACGAAGTAATTATCGTACCGTGGCGATGTGCTTCAAGATTCTGGCGGCTCCTTGAGGTTTTGGAGGGCTGGCTGGTACTGATGGGGCGATCGTAGTTCGCACGAGGACGAGATGGTTGGCTCAGAGTTTTGCTCCTGCCTTGCTTGCCACGTTCCGCGGTGTCCGTGCGTCGCCTGCCGCTGCATCCCATGTCGACGCCGTTGACATCCCGCTCTGGCCGAGCTGCTGCGTCACGCGCTCTTCGCCGCCCCCTCCAGTCTGCTCGTGATGCAGGCCCGTCGGATTCGGATGAGGAGGTGACCTATGGGGGCTTCGGATTCGGCTAGAATCAGAAGCCCGGCGAAGGCTGGCAAACCCGTGGCTGCTAAAAACGGAGCTCCGGGAAATTGTTGTTTCTTCCGGGAAGCAGCCCGTTTAGTATTTTGAGCGCCGAGCATCATTCCGGAAATGTGTTTTCTTTCTTCCGAGAAGACCGTTGTAGCAGCCACGGATTTGCCGGCCCTCGCCCCGCTTCCAACAGAGGCTGTGTCAGATCTGCGGTCAACCACATATCCCGCAGCATTGGTCCGTACTCCTGAGGGGGCCCGTTGTTTTGATAGGGGGCCACGTGCGAACCCTACCCCTACCCCCCCACGATTTCTGAGCGAAGTGAACCCCACCCTCCTCCTCAGAAATCGTGGGGGGGTAGGGGTAGGGTTCGCACGTGGCCCCCTATTTGAGGGCGCCGGCACGTGGCCGCAGCATGTCTGTTAGATCCCAGGCGCACGTTCGGTAGGTTGTATACTATGGTGTGCGCCCAATGTCGGGTCCAGGTATGAGCAATCGCGGTGACATCTTGCACTAGCTGCGTTGCCCTACATGGTCTTGGACATGTCAGCAGTGGCTTGGTGAGCTGCTGCCTCCCTTCTCTATCTCTCCGCTCTGGTCATTCGGGCTTCTGCCAACGTGCCCTGGTCCTCACGCGGCGACAGTATTGTCTGCTCTTTGTTGTGGTGTTGTCCATTTTCCCACAAGTGTAGAAGACATGGGGTCCACGCTGGCTCGATGGAGCAGCAAATTCACGCTCGAGTCGGGGCCACGGGTCGACGGCATCGGGCTGTTCCCGAGTCGTGGCGCAATGAGCGCCGATTTCGCCTCCTCTTCACTGGCGTTGCCTAGTCGCTTTGGTGTCGTACCCCTCTTACATCACGGATGGCGCACCGGCATAAGTAGGGGCCGACTTGTATTTTGTACATGGACTGTACTCAGATCACACCAGAGGCGATGTGCTGCACAAACCGCTTGCCTCTCTCTCTCTCTCTCTCTCCTTATCCCTCTCTCTCTTTCTTTTTTTCTGAGTTTTGGGGAGATCGGAAAACAAATAACCAGTGTTCCCGCGGGGTGGGGTGGACAAAAGAAGGCGAACACCACCCTCCAGAAGAGGACGTGCGGCTTCCGATTCAGTGCTGTTGTTTAGCACTTCCCTTTTTGTTGCTTGCGTGTAGATGTGTAGTCATGCTCCTCTTCATCCGTGTCTGTGGCGGGGCTCCTTTGGAGTTTCTTCGAGGCCCCGACAGCGGCCTCTTGGAACTTTTTCAAAGCCCGGTCGCTTTTTGCAACCCTCTTGGGCCCTTTTGGTGGCCTATTGGGGTCATGGTTGGGGGTCTCGGGAGCCATTTTGTGAGGACGGGCTGGAATCCCTGCGGGTTCCCCCTCTTGGGCCTCTCTCTGGCCCCTCTCGGGGCCTCGTTGCGTTTTCGTCAGCTTTGGGGGCCTCTTGGGCCCTCTCCAGGCCCTAGTTGGGGCCTCTTGGGCCGTCTTGGACCAGTCAGGGGGGGTCTCTCGCGCGAACAATGGTATGATAACATCCTTCAGAAACCCAAGCAACATCCATGATGCTTGCCTCTTGAGGCCCTTTTGGGAGTCCTCTGGGGACCCTCTTTCGGGGTCCTGGGCGGTCTTGAGGCTACCCTGGGTGTCCTTGAGGCATCTTTGGCCTGTTGGAGCCTTTCTAGGCCAGCATTAGGAATCATTTTGGTCATGGCGGCCACGGAGCTCATTTTGAGGCTCCAAGGGCTCCCGAGGTGCGTTCACAAGCTCGTCGCCCACCACCTCCGTCACGGGATTTGGATATTGTCATTGCCAGAAATGTTTGTCAACATTGCCAGTTATAGGCGCACAGAAGTCCGAATGAACGCCCGCGTGCGCAAAACATGCTATCTCCGAGGGCAGCAGCCGTGCCTACACCATCATCGCCAGCATCATCACGAACAACAGCAACATGTTAATCAGACAAAGGCCGTCATCTGCATGAACTCACACAGAGTGGACACAGTGGACATAGCCGCATAATAATTCCATGCTGCAACAACGCTGGCATCTGGAGCGACGTGCTATACGTACGCACGGCCACCAAAAGTCCACTTGGCGACCACTGTCGACAGAAATGGCGACGGCAATAGCCGTTTGCTCAGTTACAGAACCAGTGGGAATCCAGAATCACAATCGCTGTCGTTGCTAAGTTTCGGCCGCACGAGCTGCCTAGAGCCTGCCCGCTCCTGTTGTACCTCCCGTGTGTCTGTGGTCACGCCGTTTTGAACAGAAAAGGTTGTCCCCGCTAATCGATGCCGTTTCCATTATTGAGACGAACTACATTTGCAGACCTATCATCATCAAGCATTTCCATCACTTTCATTGCTTCTGACGTCGTCCTTGCTGCCGTCCTCGGGGCCCAGCCAGGTGTGCTCAGCGACAAGCAGATTGCTGGTGCAGAAGGGCATCGAGGCGGAGCTGACCTCGCGCCTGAAACTCGCGGCGGCTAAGATCCGCGTAGGCACTGGCCTCGGGGAGGGCACCGCCATCGCATTAGACACAGCTTTTCCCAATCAGTATGTGGTGTTGGGTCTGCGTTTTGAAGAAACGGTCCCCGCGTCTCCTCCTCCTCCTCCTCCTCCTCCTCCTCCTCCTCCCGTGCCCTCCTCCCCCTTCCGCATGCGTCTCCCCCACCCAGTACAGCGCTTCGTGGCCCCATAGGGGCTCCGCCGAAGGTCCCAATGGCACAGTTCGCATGCGTCCTCGCCACTCATGTCGGCACACCCCTCACACGTTTCGTGGCCCCATAGGAGCTCCGCCGGGGGTCCCAGTGGCGCAGCCCGCATGCGTCCCCGCCATTCATCTCAGCCCACCCCTCACACGCTTCGTGGCCCCATAGGTGTTCCGCCGAAGGTCCCAGTGGCACAGTCCGCATGCGCCCCCGCCACACGTTTCGGCACACCCCTCACACGCATCGTGGCCCCATAGGAGATCTGCCGACGGCCCATGTGGCAGAGTCCGCATGCGTCCCCGCCATTCATTGCGGCACACCCCTCACACGTTTCGTGTCCCCATAGGAGCTCCGCCGAGGGTTCCAGTGGCACAGTCCGCATGCGCCCCCGCCACTCATTCCGGCCCACCACTCACACGTTTCGTGGCCCCACAGGAGCTCCGCCGAAGGTCCCAGTGGCACAGTCCGCATGCGTCCCCGCCGCTCGTTTCGGCACACCCCTCACACGCTTCGTGGCCCCATAGGAGCTCCGCCGAAGGTCCCAGTGGCACAGTCCGCATGGTTCCCCGCCACTCATGTCGGCACACCCCTCACACGTTTCGTGGCCCCATAGGAGCTCCGCCGAAAGTCCCAGTGGCGCAGTCCGCATGCGTCCCCGCCACTCATGTCGGCACACCCTGACACGTTCCGTGGCCCCATAGGAGCTCCGCCGAAGGTCCCAGTGGCACAGTCCGCATGCGCCCCCGCCGCGCATTTCGGCACACCACTCACACGTTTCGTGGCCCCATAGGAGCTCCGCCGAAGGTCCAAGTGGCACAGTCCGCATGCGTCCCCGCCACTCATGTCGGCACACCCCTCACACGTTTCGTGGCCCCATAGGAGCTCCGCCGGGGGTCCCAGTGGCGCAGTCCGCATGCGTCCCCGCCACTCATGTCGGCACACCCCTCACACGCTTCGTGGCCCCATAGGAGCTCCGCCGAAGGTCTCCGTGGCACAGTCCGCATGCGTCCCCGCCACTCATGTCGGCACACCCCTCACACGTTTCGTGGCCCCATAGGAGCTCCGCCGAAAGTCCCAGTGGCACAGTCCGCATGCGTCCCCGCCACTCATTTCGGCACACTCCTCACACGTTTCGTGGCCCCACAGGGAACTCCACCGAAGGTCCCCGTGGCGCAGTCCGCATGCGTCTTCCTCACCCAGTACGGCGTTTCGTGGCGACCAGCGCGCGTCGCAGGAATTCCGTGCTGCGTTCTGCCCCGCGCCTCGTTGGCCCGTCGTCACTCTGACCAGCGGCAAGAGCCTTGCCCGCTATCAGCCAGCCAGCTAGCTCTCTTTGCTCCGCGCAACGGACGACCCGCGCGCGTCGCTGGGACCCCTCCAGGGCGACCAGCGCGCGTCGCGGGGACTCCGTGCTGCGTTCTGCCCCGCGCTTCGCTCGCCCGTCGTCGCTCTGCCCAGCGGCAAGAGCCTTGCCCGCTATCAGCCAGCCAGCTAGCTCTCTTTGCTCCGCGCACGGACGACCCGCGCGCGTCGCTGGGACCCCTCCGGGGCGACCTGCGCGCGTCGCGGGGACTCCGCGCTGCGCTGCGCCCGCAGCCTTGGACTTTTGAGTGCGCGGGCAAAGAGGGAGTAAAAGAAGGGGAGGAAGCGGGCGCGATCCTCGCGGGGGGGCGCGCCGACATTGGCGTCGCGGCGCGCGGGCGATGCCGTCGGGGAGTTCCGGGGAAGCTCTTTGCGGCGGCCACGCCCAGCGTCACGAGTAGTCAGAGGCAGCCATTCGCAAACTGTTGACATTCATATACAAGTACAACATGCTTTATCATACTCGCATTCATGCACGTAGACTCGCTCGCGCGCAGATTCATTCACAGTCAGACGCACTCGCGCTCAGATTCACCCGCGCTCAGTCTCCAAACGCACTCAGATCAATCGTTTTCGTTCGCGTTGTGTACCACGCCACCCATGTCGGCACACCCCTAGCACGGTTCGTTGCCTCATAGGGATCACCACCGAAAAAGTGCATCACAGTTGCGGTATTCACACCTGCATATGGTTGGGTCTTTCGTCTGGCTAATTCCAATGAGCCCCCTCCGGAAATCCGCCTCCGTTTCTTCCGCTTCGTTATCACTGTCCTCCTCTGCCTCCGCCCAAACTCCCGCGCCGTGTCGTCTAGCAGAATGTGCGAATATGCTTGGACGCCGCCGCCGTCGTCGTCGTCGTCGTCCCCTTCAATCCCAAGGGGGTAAAGCGATGCTCGCAGCCTGTAAAAGTTCCATAATCACCGATCGACTTGGTGTATGTAAGTGGCCCGTGTCGCCGCCCTTGGAGGTGGCCCGAGGCGCAGTAAACGACGCCATTGCGCTCTGTCAGGATGGAGAGGATTCGGTTGTGGTGGTGCTAA